GCTTGACGTATTCATTTGATTGGCTCCGTGGCGCTTAATGTTCTTTGCTATCTTTTTTTGTTTACAAATGCAACCCTGCCTATCGTGTTTGACACTTTTCATGAACTTGCAGGAAGAAGAACTTCGGACTAAAATNATGCAATGCTTGACGTATTCATTTGATTGGCTCCGTGGCGCTTAATGTTCTTTGCTATCTTTTTTTGTTTACAAATGCAACCCTGCCTATCGTGTTTGACACTTTTCATGAACTTGCAGGAAGAAGAACTTCGGACTAAAATCTGCAACTTCTGACTGAGAGAGAGAGCAAGGTACTCTCACAAAAGTGGTTTGACTTGCAGGTTTTTTGCCACCTGGAACGCTTTCCTACAAAAAAACTGCAAATCGTCAAAATCGTGAGCATCTGGAACGCAACTTATATTAGGTGCGTTCGACAAGNTGTCCTGCAATTATACTATTTAGCATCTATATAGGAATAGAAACGTAATAATTTTCCATATTTCTTATATAACATTATAAGCTCTTGTTTTTTTGGTAACGTAAGTTCACTTTTTTTGTTAACAGAACTGAAGGGGTTAAAAAAAATTATTCGTCGGATAATTTCAGGGAATCCTTGAACAAATGAAGCACCAATAAAAATCAAAATCCAATAACTCAAAAATCGAACATTTCAATATTATTTCACGGCCTTATAAACCTCATTTTTAGAATATTTCAAAAGTTAAGAAATCACATATGTACAGTGTAATTGGAAGCCAATTACTCTTTGACCTCTTCTATTACCAGCAAGTGTAGTATTTTTAACGGAAAATGTATTTGAAGGCCACATAAATTTTAAAAGCAACTTGGAAAAAGGCCCTAAGACTATTTTTTGAGGTAAGATACTGCAATAAGTGCGCTATTTTTTGGGTAAGAAAGCCGAAATAGATCGTGGGCATTGTACAGTTCCATAAGTTAAGAAACTCTTCTTCTTACCGTTTTTTCTGGCAGGCTGTAAGTGTGAGTTTGGCAGGCTGTAGGTGTGTTTTTGGTTAGAGTCCCTGCAAAAATCGCGACTACCCATGAATGCTACTCCCTAAGGACCAAGGAGTACTCCAAAATTAACCACAATTCATATAAAAAATATGGTCCAATTAACATTGCGCTGTCCTACGGCAGGACCATATACTCCATCTCTGCATTACATCAGAGTAGCACAAAACTACTCCAACATATGTATTAACAATGGCATTGTTGTTATATTTTTTCGTTTGTACACGCTTTTGCTCTTCACTTCACAGATGCTTTTTCGCAATTAATAAAAACCAAAAACAAAAATAAAAAATTAAATGTTGCCTCTGACGGCATTCGAACCCGAACATGCTGGGAGCTAACAAATAACAGCCAGCATCTCTACACGTTCAGCTACAGCCAGACATGCAAATGTGCTTTCAAATGCTCAAGTTCAATCACATTTCGTTAAAGCACGAAACAAACAATGGGCCTCCGCACACTGGACTGCTCAATCCGCCTAAAACCGGTTTTGTGTTGATAAGAGGGGGAAGAGAGTTCGAGTTTACCTCGCTTATTTCAGTCCGAGAAAATCGCGGATTGACAGTGGACTGACACGCACACATAGACAACATGTTTTCTATTTCGTTTTGTTTGCATGTGCAACCTGCACTAATACCATGTTCTGACCGACATCGAAAACATGTTTTCGTTGCTAAAACTGGTTTTCGACTTAAAACTTGTGTTTTCGTCCATGTAAAATCTGTCAAACGAAAACCAGTTTTCGCTGAAAACTACTTGAAAACTCAAGTTCCACTCATTCCAATCGGTATCTTCACTATTTTTTTCGATTATTTATCGAAGTGGAAGTCATATTTTATCTATTATTTATTTATTTATTGTTAATTGGCTGGCAAAAGTAAAATAAGAATGAAAGTAAGAAATTGCTAATGAAAAGAAAATGAGGGAAAAGCATTTTGGTTTGGTTTTTGTGTAGCAAAACTGTAATCAGAGGTTGTAAGAAATGTCAACGAAAACACTAACAGCCGGTTTGAACAGCCTTCAGCCCACAATCCCAAAACACGTTTTCAAAGTGTTTTCGTTGTCGGTCAGAACATGGTATAACACCATGAACCAAAAAGACAAGATCACGCGGGCAAGAGAGTAGCCCGTTAGAATCGCATTTAGGAAAAAAGTTTAACGATTTTGACATTAGCCGTTTGTTTACATTTCTTCGTTGTTTACAATTTGGTGGTGGCTTTTTACTGCAATTTTCTTCATTTTCGCCTGTGACAACGTGTGTACACATAAGATAAAGAATAATTTAACACAACGGCATGATCGGCAACGGCCTTTCCAACCACCAAGATATCGAGACTAGGCGGATCGGAAACTCGGCCTTTCCGACTCTAGACCAGATAAACTACGCGGATGGAAGGCCTCCAGTCAATCAAACCCTGGTGACGGAAACTGGCCTTTGACCGTACAAAATGAACCCAAAAAGAATAGCGCGGATTGGAAACTCGGCCTTTCCAACCGTCTACATAACTTCCAGAAAATTGCATGCGTTTATATTGACATAAAATAATTGCAGTGATAAAGAAATAATGTTATTTAAAAATTTCTGTAGAGCATTTTGTATTTTGTATTTAATATTTACATTTTAAATCTAAAATCTAATTATAAGAATGTTAAATCTTTGTTGCAATATAAGTCTAACAGACTGTAAAAAATAAATAAATAAAAAATAAAACCACTGATTTATAGGTTCTTACGTACTTCTTTTCTTGGCTCTCCTGCTAGTAAAATTTTTACAAGCAGAAACTAGCAGCTGTCAAAGTGGATAAACAAAAATTCGCGCCAAATATTAGAAGTGTTTCTTAACTTTTTACAGCTGTTGTTAGAAGATTGGCGAAGAGTATAATTTTACGCATAAAGAGATCGAAAGAGGAAAAAGTAAAGAAACGAAAACTAGCAGAAATTTGCAATCACAGTATACACACACACATCTTCAAATGCATGCACAAATCCTTACATTCTGCATTATTTCAATGTGTTTTCATAACTATGCACTCATTTTGTTTTATTAAAACGAAGTAAAATAAACTTGCCAACTTTTCCCTTGTGCGTTTTGAACAGCTGCTTCTTAAACATGTGACTGCAAATTTCTGTTGGCAGAAATTTCGCCAGTAGAAATTTGCAGCTCTCTCCGTTCTTTATGCTCTTTTTGGCTCTCTTCTGCAAATTTTTTGTGTGTAAGAAACGCGTTCCAGCAGAATGAGTCAAATACACCGATCAGCTGGTTACTTGCTAGTTTCTGCTAGTTTTGCGTTTCCAAGGCGAATTTATATAAGGTGGTGTTACTAGCTCAGCTGATTTTGTGTATGTGTTTCGCCGCACGGCTTCTGATATTAAATTGAAAATTTTTTTTTGAATTTCTAAACACACTCTTACAGATTTTGACAGTTTATGCCGCCAAAGCAGAACAAAATACATGTAAATTTTTGTTTTTTACTCCTGCTATCACCTTATATTAATTCGCCTTGTGCCTTTCTTTACTTTTTCGTTATTTCGCTCTCCGTGAGCGTAATTCTTTCAATTTTCTCATTCTTTTTCTTCCTAATAAATATGTGCTAGAAAAGAAAAAAACAAAGCATTATCTCAAAAGAAAACGCCCTGTGCTGTCACAAAAGGTTCATCCGATGATAATAAACATGACAATTTGTTGACATCCATGAACCAAAAAAAAAATACAAGTCGTTGGTTCATGGTTGACATCATTTCACTGACTCTGTGGTAGTCGCAAATTTTTTTTATATCATAGATTGCAATTTAACTAAGTAAAAATGGAAGCATTAGACATTCTTGAAAAACGCATTGATACATTATCTCGTATTTTGGGGCCGCTACCTGAGGGTGGAAATGCAACAATGCTAGTGGTTCCTCAGAGCCAAGCAAACCCACGGGTGTCGCTCCGGAAGCAGTGGTCGATTCGTTGCTTTCAGTTAACAGCATGTTGAACGGGGTAATTGGAAATCGCGAACAAATTGCAAAAGCAATGGCAAGGAGCTCCGGAACTTGAAAAATATCTTGATCCAAATTTCTTGGAAGAAAACCAGCAGGTGCGTTCCAAAGAGGTATATTTAAATGCAGTAGCTCCCGATTTGCATGCGCAGTTTGACCAATTGGACCGAGTTAAACAGCTGGAACCCACATTAGGCGCCGAATATTTCCGCAGTATACCAGGCGAATGCACCGAAAAACTAAAACAACATTCACAGGATAATGCAGAGTTTGCCCAGCAAGCTGAATTGATAGAGGAAAGTCTGATATTGGCCATGAAGCGTTATGGAGAAATACAAACTGGTCTCTTGGAGTCCCTTGGCGTTATGAACAAGAGGCTTGAAGCTATTGAAGAAAAAATGGAACAAAAAAAACGTACTGAGGCCGAATTGGAACTACCAGTTCCACAGGAATGAAAGCATTACTTGCATCGCAATTCATTTGCACGCGTATTTTAAACGGTATTAAGCGCTTTAGCTATTATGAGTGGAAACCGGAGATGAATTGGCTTAATAGAAATCCGATCTAATACTGATTAGCGTACTTGTATGTGTATTTATACTTTATTTTTAAATATATTATCTAGTGTCTCTAAATGGATGTCCTTTGACCTGTCTTTAAACATTATTGGAAAAAATTTAATTAAACTGTACAATGGCCTTATTAATAAAACATATAATAGATTTAAAGAGCTCTATTAAGTGACATTTGCATATAAATTTTCGATTTATAAAGCAGTTAAATTATTCTTTATTTTTTATGAATTTCGCTGTAAATCTAAAAGCATTTTTAATTTATTTGCCACCACTACATTCTGAAAGTGGCATAGTGACTTTTAATTTCAATTTATTTTGCTAATCGCTAAGACTTCATTAAGTATAAGATTTACTTGTGCTCACTCCTCTTCTTCCTTATCTTTGCGATGAGATTTTTTCTTTTCGCTGCGACTCGTCGAAGAGGATGTACCGACAGTTTTGCTACTGCGCTCTCGGTCTTTTTCACGAGATTTTGAACGGCGGCGTGTCTTCTCACGACTACGCGAACGTTCTCGCCGAGATCTAAAAAGAAGAAGTTGCCAGTTTCAAAGCAATTTTATAAAACTAAAATTAGGAAAACCTATGGACGACAATTTGACCAGTTTTTACTTTTTTTCGTTTGCTTATTTAATTTTTATATATACTTTATATAAAAGTATAGCTCAATTAGCTTTGTTCAAAATTTTGGAAATTTCAAACCAATTACAAAACCAGAATTTAAGAATACTTTTTGGGATGTAGCCTATAGCCCATTCAATTTTAGTATATTAAAAAATCCGTTGATTTTTTTGATATTTTTTTGTTTACTGGCGGTGTCACGTTTTCTTCCACACAAAGTATTTTCGACAATTTTTTTATCGAGTAACTTTCAAGCAATATACAAAAAAAAAATGCGTAACATCATTAGCAAAACCATTATCAAAATTCAACAGCATTTTTTAATAACTAAATACAGTATTGTATACAATTATAGACTACGTAACCTTTTTTTTAACCGACTTCATAAAAAGGAGAAAGGTGATCAAGTCGTCGGAATATTTTTTTTTGTTTTTTGTATATACCGCATAACTTTGGACCACGTTAACCGATTTCTACAATTCTTTTTTTAACCGACTTCCAAAAAATGAGGAGTTTATCAGTTCGTCGGAATATTTTTTTATGTATGATACCGCATAACTTTGGAGGACCACGTCAACCGATTTCGATAATTATTTTTGCATCGGAAAGGTAGGGTCTCTGAGGTGGTCCCATACTAATCTGGTTTAGATGCGATCATTGGATCATGATATATATATATATATTTTTTTTTTTAAGTCGGTTTTTTTTTGCTAAAAACTACTTGTTTTTTTTTTAAGGAAAGCTGTTACCACAAAGGTGGTCCCATATTAACTTGGTTTAAATCTGATAATCGGATCATGAAGAAATTGNATTTTTCACATTCCTTTTTGGTGTTGCTCGTTTCATTTACATACGGCGATTTGTGTGGATGCAATTGTTGTTGTCAGCTGTGAACAGCGGTTCAATTTACACAAACGAACGAGAGCACAAATGTTTATGAAACTTTGTTGAATTTTTTTCAATTTTTGCACTCGGCTTGGTTAGCTCTTGATTGTGCTATACTTTTATAAAAAAAAAAATAATAAACAAAATGGTACAAATGTCGTGTTTTTATTTGTTTGGCCATAGTTGTAAGGCTGGGACTGCACGTGTATTCAGATATCCGTTCGAATATTCAAGTATGTGGATAAAATTTTTATATCACGTTAGTATCTGTTAGTTTTGCTATACTTTTAATATCCTTTTATTGTGTTATACGGTTATAAGCTTTATGTTCGGATTTTTTTTTCAGATATTCGAAAATGAAAATATCAGCGTATCAACAAAATGCAAACCCGCGTATCAGAAAAATGCAAAACCGCGTATGTGAATTTTTAGAAATTATTTTCTGGAGCTTAAAAACACTCATATTTCAAAATAGTTCCTTTTTTTATAAAGCAATCGCATTTCTGGCTAGTAATTTCAGGACGAATGGATAAGGATTGAGCCAAGAGCTTGTGTGAGCAAATCCAGTTTTTGGCAGCCAATGTCAGTTACGCGGTTTTGCAGAATGACGATACGCGGTTTTGTACTTTAAACGACGATACATATGTATGTTCTACGTACTCATGCAAATTTCGAAATTGAACACATACCTTTCGCGCTCGCGTTCCCGATCACGTTCACGTCTTCTTCGTTCGCGATCCTCATCTACTGCACGTTCAGGATCCGGCTTTTAATAAATAAATGTATCTACATATAGAATACGAATAAGCAAAAGTATAAGATTTGCTTACGTCAAGTTTTTCACTTCTGTCACGCTCTCGTTCTCGCTCGCCATCTCGGTCGCGATCACGTTCTCTTTCACGCTCACGATCACGTTCTTTCTCACGTGATTTTGAGCGCCGTCTAGACTTATCTNCTCGCCATCTCGGTCGCGATCACGTTCTCTTTCACGCTCACGATCACGTTCTTTCTCACGTGATTTTGAGCGCCGTCTAGACTTATCTCGACTACGTGAACGTTCACGGCGGGGTCTAATGGAAAAAATGTATATGTATTAGATCTGCAAGGTCGATACAATCTGCGCTACCTTTCTCGTTCTCTTTCTCTTTCCCGTTCCCGCTCGCGCTCTGTCTCTCGCTCTCGGTCGCGATCTCGCTCCCGATCTCTATCACGCTCACGCCGATCATTCCGTTCATAGTCGCGCTCTCTTTCACGGTCACGATCATGACGCTCGCGATCCATATGTCCTGGATTTGGTGGTCCACCTCCATGTGGTCCCATCATGCGGGGAGGTCCCATAGGCATTCTCATTGGTGGTCCTCCGCCGGGGCCCATCATCATACCCATGCCAGGCGGCGGCGGGCCCATACCTTAGCAATATAAATATTGAAAAAAAAAATCGTCAACAATATCCCTAAAATACAGTTACATGAAATGAGCTTACCCATATTTGGTGGAGGCATTCCAGGCATTATGGGAGGATGCTGACGCATTTGCGGTGGGGGCCCTCCGATTTGAGGAGGAGGCACACCCATCGGGGGTACACCAGGGGGACCTGACATACCAGCTGCTGGCGGTGGAACCATTGCTGGTCCGGGTGTTAGTTCTTTTATGCCCGATGATGGATGCCATCCCGGATTTTCATTATTCCATTGCGACTCTTGTGTTGGTTCGTAGCCGTAATCAAATGTTTCAGGTTCTGGAAAGTATGGCTCTTCCGGGGGTTGTGGTGCACCAAAGTTCGGCGGCATTTGGGCTATCGTACCTGGTCTCGAATATTCACGGCATTCGGCGGTCATTACTTGGATAGGATTCTCCTTGCTGCTGGTAGTACTGATCGGTCGAGGTCCACGGGGCATACCCATGCCCATACGTGGCGGACCATGGTGCATACCCTGAGGGGGTGGTAAAATGCCCGGAGGTGGCATTTGCATCTGATCATTTGATAATAGGCCGGGCATTATTGTGGTTATTTGGCCTCCACCTCCAGTACCCTCATGTTGTCGTTCGCCTGATTGATTAAGATTTTGTGTCAAACTTGCCAACCCAATGCCGCTCTCCTGTATACGATATCGTTTTTGACGCTCGCAATAAGAGCGCCATGTCTCTTCATTGAACCCGTAATTAAAATAATCAGTAATATCTGCACCTGGTTTTCGCCAAGGCTTATCTTCCAAGGAATCGATACTAAATTCGTGTGCTGGCACACCGTTTATAGTACCAACACCTTCAAAATCTTCAACACTAAATTTCCCGCCCGGTGCACCAGACTTGGTTTTCTCTTGACCTGAACCAGGAGGTCCAGTCAATAAGTTAGAACGTTGTTTAATATTATATGTGCTGGGTCCTGCCTTTATATCGCCAATAACAACATTGATATCATCATCAGAGTCGTCTTCATCGTCCGAGTTCGCCTCACCATCTTCCGAAGTTTTTGACTTAAACAATTTAATGTTAGTAAAATAGATTTCAAGAAACCGAATTCTAATTTCACCTGTTGTTGAGCATTTTCGCCTGTATCTTCGCCGGCGTCAGTAGTATCGGCAGCGGTGCTGGCGGCAGCAGCCGCAGCTTCCTCGTCCTCTTCCATCTCCTGGGCCGGATCTTCAAACTCACCGAATGGTTCTTCCTCATCATGCGCTTCGACCTGTTTTGGTGCCAACACATCACCACTTCCACCCAATGCGGTCGCTTCATTTTCAGATTTCTGAGACAACAGCGGTCTCCCATTATCTATACCGACATTAGCATCCACATTCTCTTCATTCGTCGTGGAATCGGGATTGGACGTGCCATACAGCCAGCTGTCTTCGTTCGTATCATCGGCCATTATAACCTTTAATTATAGTATCTTAATTCACTTTTCACGTCACAAATATAACAATGCAAAAACGC